ATATATATATATATATATATATATATCTGCCATTGAGTTTAATGTTACTCCAATTCTTTATATCAATTTATCAAATAGTTTTAAGGTTTGAGTATATTCGTTCCCATCCTTCCTAGTGCAAATTTTATGGAACCTGATAGATTGTGTAGCCTGAAAAAGCCCTCTGGAAGTTGGTATCCAACTGCCTCAGGATGACACCAAGCACTTGATGTTTCCAAGACAAACAAGATTTGTACGTAAAGAGAGGAAAGATGCCTGTGATCTGAAACCACACTCCAAACCAGGAAAGGAAGAATGTTTGTGAATGTGTGGGGTGTGCTTGTCTCTGACTCAGGACTCATTCAGGAAATCCTGAGCCCTAGGTAAAAGTCTTCAGCAGAGGCCAGAAGGCAGGGCTGGCAGCCTCCATACCTAAGATCAGATTCTGCTTTGCCCAAGTAGCTGGGTAAATAAGGATTCTGAGTAGCAAGAAACAACCTGTGTGAGCTTTGTTTTCATAAAGTTAAAAATGGTAACCTCTTTGTAACTGCAGTGTTATTAGTTAAGCTGAGATAAGAAGGAAGACAATTTGTGAATGGTACAGAAGTAAATAAGGTAAAACGTTGCATTGCGAGTAATTTGTTCTGCAAGTGTTCCGCAAAAGGAGCAAACATTAACCTGATAAATGAGCCATGTCTTGAAATACGAGTAGTACGTGATGCCAAATGTCACATGATCACAACTGAGACAATGGTTCCCTCTCTCTCTCTGTGTCACACACACACACACACACACACACACACACACACACACTGTGGGATTGTAGGTGATCGTCTTCCATGCTCGGATGCTCGGTCTCAGGCTGTGGTGTTTGGCAGAAATCAGTGATTTTTCGGAACGTTGGAAGGTGCCCACAACTGTCACTAGTGTGTTTTTTGTCGCTTCAAAGCACCTATGGACAGTCCTTTGCTTTTCCATATAAGAGTAAGCTTAGGAATGCTCTGCTTCATTCTAGGTCAGGCTGCTTCCAGATAGAGACCCTTTCCTCAGCGGTCGTATCACAAGTCACATTAAATACAGATAAGACAAGAGTTGATTCATACTGTACTGTAGTCAACACCTGTTAGTGATAGTGAAAATCATCCTACTCAATAACCCTCCTCCCTCTTGTCTCCCTCACACTAGTCACAAAGGTTTTCAAAGGTAAGTGCAGGTTAATTTATTTTTCTTCATATTTTGTATTTTCTTTATTATTTTGTATCATATTACAGTATTGTAATCATTTTTAGATGAATATTTTTGGGTTTGGAATGAATCATCTGTGTTTCCATTATTTCTTATGGGGAAATTCGCTTTGATATACAAGTGCTTTGGATTACACTCATGTTTCCAGAACGAATTATGCTCGCAAACCAAAGTTTTACTGTAAATGCAAGCCATTATTGAAGCTCCACAAATGCTAACATTTACTCCCTCACCCCAAGGCAAGGGACATTGGAAACTATTTATAAGAGGGACCCCGAGGGCTCAATAACACCCTCACACCTAAGACCAGTTCTTACATTCAAACGCTGGCTTGAGCCTGCTGTACTGGCCACTGAGCTTTTGTCAGTATGGAACATACAACATAGAAAGGAGAAAGGAGATGTTCTGTTCATATGGTGGTTAAGGACATAGGTTTCAAAGAATTGGGTAAACTTTGGATAAATTCCAGCTCTATCACTTGTTGACTGTGAGATCTTGGGCATGTTTCTTGACTTCACTCAGCCTCATGTCCCTTGCTACAGAATGAAGGTAATAAAAGAACACACTTTCTCAAGTTTTTGCAGGGATTAAGCATTATCAGTGGCTCCAGAAATCTGCCATTGGTCCTTAGGCCAATTCTATGGACTTCGTTTCAGTGCCTGTCCTCAATCAAGTGGATATGTACTATACTTTTCGCATCAAATCAACCTGAGACTTTGCAAGTACAAGGCAGTCTCCTATTAAGAGTGATATGGCAGGAAATGGGATACAAGGGGTGTAAGGTGGTGGCCATGAGTTTAAGTAGGAAAAGAATACTGGGTGACACATCGCAACTTTGAAAGATCATCAGCAGGAAATAACCATGGCAACATTGACTAAAGTTTCTTGAGCAATGTTACCAAAGGAGCTAAACCCAGAAAGGAGTCATTATGTCATTATGAGTCCTTCTTTGTGAATGCAATGGAGATGTCCTCTCAGGATTTCAAGAAGTAACTGGAAGGACATTGGGGAATGGTGGAAGTGGCAAACCTGAAATAGCATAATGGAGACAGTCCAGAATAACAGATGATACCGTTTCTCTTTTCTTCCTGACTACCCACACAAATAATCCTATCTTCACCATTGATGCCCCCGTTCATATTTCCTTTACTTACCAATGAGTTGCGCCATTGCAATGGGCAGCACCTATACTTGCTGACAGCTTCCCAACTCAAGCC